GCCCAAGACATCCCCGGAGAGGGACTCGAGCCCCAAAACTGTGCGGTGACCCCGAATCCCAACCGACTCACCACACCGGTGTGGTCACCAACCGGGGTGGGGGCCCCCGCGCTGTGCTTGTATGGCCGATGGTGCGCACGAAGACACACTAGTCTTAGGTCGGGCATGTCTTCCTAGGAGGCGGACTTTCGAAGAGAAGTTCAAAAAGAGTCGGAAAGATTGAACAATGATCAAAACATGAGAAAATCGTCCCCTGACTATGTTTTGATTATTTTTGAATACTCCTCCTGTCGAGAGACTGCCCGGCTTAGTGCTGGTACTATGCAACCTCCTTGGAGGCGCGCGGTGTGGCCAGCAAGCGCCCGCAACGACGCACATGCTATGAGATTTCCCAGTGCGCGCGTCGCCCCTGTGGGGAGGGGGGGCGACGTTCATTCAGTATCAGTGTGTTGGGGTGACGCCGAGCTGAGATGACTCTAGGAAGGCTCGGGCAGCCCAGCACCATCCCGAAAAGGGCTCCGAGGCAAGACCCGACCGCACGGCCTGAACTGTAGTTTTATCGGGGGCTGCTTCTGAGAAGCCCGGCAGAACCTTCGCGCCGCCGATGCGCTGCCCAGACCCCCTCTCCCCGCAGAAGCCACTGAGAGGCCACCAAAGAGCCCCCTAAATGAGCGACGAGCACCAACTCGCCGTCGCTTGGACGTACATTCCCTGTGCATTGTTCGATGTCGCGTGCAATTTCTCACTATGATCCAAAATGCTCTGCGATGGTCCTCACCTTTGTGGGCCCCGGAAACGGCAGGGCCGTTTTTTCACCGTTTCCAAAAAAACCTCATAATGGAAACGGCAAAAAAACGGCGACTGGAAACGGCCAACAAACGGCTGCAGGATTGGAGCCGGAGCCGGAACCGGTCCAAAAACGGCGACGGAACCGGTAAAAAAACGGCGTCGGAACTGGCAAAAAAAAACGGCAAAACGGAACCGGTAAAAAAACGGCCCTGTCGTTGCCAGGGCCCACTAAGGTCCTCACCCAGAAAAACGACACGTCCGCGCGATGCCAACAGAACGGGTCTTACGCGAGATGACACGGCGGCGTTACGTTGTGGCTTGCGCGGGCCGCCGGCGCGACACGCTGCGTTGGAAACGAGGGCGCCCACGCGCCATCTGACGCGGGCAGCTTGCGCGTGGATGTCAGCGCAGCCGAGCCCGTTATCGCACGTCGCGGCGCATATAAGCACACATCGGGCCTCCCAAAGGCCTCCAAGAAGTCACCAGAAGGCAACACAACAATCACGGCGAGACGCTGCGACCGCCCCGAGATAGTCCCGCCGAGACTGCTAGGGAGAGCTCGGTAGAGCATTCCTGCGATAACATCGACTCTGCGCACGGCAGCGGGATGTGCCGCAAGCAACTGGATATTATACTGCATCTTAAATTGCTCTCCTGATCAGGAGCTGTTGGGCAAGTGGGCTGGCGATTAGTGGACCTTGGAAACCACAGTGCCGTTCTTGTTCTACCGTCTCCTAAGATCTGGCCCTGAATTGCGAAAACATCACTCGAAACAGACTGCTCACCGACACGAAACAAGAAACACTGGAATCGGAATCGGAGCAGACAAACGACATAACCATAAGAAAACAACTAAGGAACTGTAGCGCAGTCTGAAGACGGAGCCAACAAAAACAAAACGGCACTGCCGCTTCCCGGGCACACGGAGGGCTGGCGTGCTTGTGGGCACAGCCCTATACCTCGCCCTTGATGGACTCGCTGACCTCCTTCGCCTCGTGCCCCGGGTCGTCTTGCTGCTTGCGCTCGCACGCGGCCTTCTCGACGTTCACAGAGCACTCTGGCCCGCTGGTGACAACGTTGGATTTGCCTACGCCCATGGAGTCGCCTGGCGACTTGCCAGCCCCTGGGGCGGCGGTCGCGGCCATCACGTGGAGCGCGCGGGATCCGTTGGCTTGCAGCGCCTCCGGCGAGAGCGCGTGCTCGTTGACCTGCTTCGGCTCGCCGAAACTGGAGAGGTGGGCGTCGCCCCACCTGTGACCCATCGGCGGGCCGCAGTCCTCGTCGCTGTCGAAATCCGCCGAGCCCCTCGGGGTCACCCCGCGTGCGATATATTCTCCCCCCGAAGAAACCGAAGAGAAGCCCCAGGCTAGGTGACGAGCCAGTTTCTGCTGGCTCCTGTGGACATCCTCCCCAGGCTCCTCCGAGGAGCAGAAGTCAAACCTTCGATCCCCCCACGGGGACCCCACGACCACTCCAACGCCGAAAGCACCCACGGACCTCTGAAAGCACCCGTGGACAGCCTCTCCAGAGTCCTCCAGGGGCCTCCGAGAGCCATCGGGCGAGCCGCAGCTGCGCCTGCCTGTGCGTGCGCGCGCGCGGCACGAACGTGCAGGGCGCCGCCTGCGAGCATGCTCGGCAGCGCCGTGCCCCAGCCGGGCATCGCAGAGAGGCCGCCGAGGAGCCGCGGGCCACCCGCGTCGCTCTCTGCGAGCTGGCCCGCGGTGGGGCCGCCCGGTCTGCCGTGGGCAGCCACACAGCAAGAGACCTCGCGAGAAGAGGAGCCTTTGGGGCACAGTCTGCGTGGATCTCTCGGAGTCCGAAGGTGCCCCAGAGCTCTGGTGGATCCTGGGGGCCATCGGGGGATGTGCGCATCGTTTGTCCGTTCCCTATCCCCAGCGGCGTGGCATGGGCCCCGCTGGCCGATCTGCCCCCTGGATGGGGATGCAGGCCGTTCCCTTCGGATCTCGAGGGGCGTATCCCCAACTGGGGGGGGTCATTTGGCGGGGGTCTCGAAGGGAGTGGGGATGGGGCTGGGGAGCAGTTAAACGATACCGAGGATAAGATGCACTGCGCAGTGCACGGTAGAGGTAGTCATCTTATATTATAGCCAATGCACTGCGCAGTGCACGGTAGAGGTAGGTAGGTAGGAGGATAAGATGCTTTCCCGTGGGCAGCCGGCTTCCCATCTCCTGTGCCTACCGGGCCGACGGCCCCCGGAAGCAGCGTAAAGGAGCTTTTGGGAACGGCGCCGGCCAGACGGATCGTCGGAGTCCTCCTGCAGCGCGTAGAGGTCCGAGCTCTCGGTGCCCTTCGCCATCGCGCGGCCGCACCTTCCACGCGGCGGCGCGCGGGCGGAGGGGGCTCCCTGGCGAAGCCGGCCGTGGGCCACTCGAGCCAAAGGGGCCGTTCGGGGGGTGAGGCGGGGGGGAGGAGGGCGGGAAGGAAGGGGCAGAGGAAACCCGAGGGGAGGGAGGGGAGGGAGTGAGAAGGAGAAGGCCTTCTCGGGCGGCGGGACTTCTCAGAGGCCCCCCGCGGCTTCCGAGAAGTTCCCTGCGCCCTCGGGGAGGGCTTCGAAGACCTCCTCAGAGGGCCCGGTGGACTTCCGAGAGCCTGCTGACAGGGCCCGCCCCCTCTCTCGCCTCCCGCCCCCGGGGCTCGCCGCCGACATCCCGATGGCATCCCGCGGGGCTGCAGTGCGCCCTGCCAAGTCCCGGGTGCCCTCCAGCCGCGTCCCTGCAGGCCCCCCCCCCTTCCGCTGCGGGAGGGGCCCCCGTGGAGGACAGGCGCCGACTGGGCGCGCCCATGCGGCAGGAGCCCCGTGTTGCAACAGTCGCCCTGCGTCTCCCCCAGCTGCAGCAGGGGCCCGCGGGCATCCGCAGAACACGTCGGACACTGTCGAAGGAGAGCCCCCCTCATGGAACACTGGTTTACCAGCGCAAGACAAGCCCTGTGGCGAGAGGGGAAACGCAAGAGCAGAGGGGGAGGGCGGCACACGCGCCCGAGCGCGCGCCAGGCCCAGCCGCGGCGGCCGGGGCAGCACGGAATTAATCGGGCGCACCTGGGCGAGCAGCCAAGCCCTCTCGGAGCAGCCCCGTATGGAACACATCATCCGTCCACCCGTGTAGTTGAAGGTTGAGCACGGCTGAGCTCACGGGAGCCACATCTGAGGACATCTCCATCGAGAGCCACATCCTGATACGAACAAGAAACCGTAAGATCAGAAAAAATGGGAAGTCTCCAGCAGGATCCCCGCTTTGAAGAGGAATCCCCCTCCATCCGTAGAGCTGGGGGAAACTTGCGACAACGATTGGCCGCGGCGCCAATGCAAAACCGAATTTGGGAAACGAGCCACCCCCTCAATGCGAGCAGCTCTGCGCTGGAAATGTTCCTAGCGAGTATGCGCAGCGCCAGAGTGAGAGCCACACGTTGGAAACACCTGATCCCATAACCCGAATAGGGGGTGAGTAGATCTTTTCTCGGCGGCTTCATTGAAGGACTGGTGTCCCACCGATAGGGGAAACTAATTACTTGCTTCCGCGGCACCCGCCGCACAAAAACGATGATGATGATGCTGCTGCTGATGATGATGAGGAGGAGGAGGAGGAAAAGGATACGACGCTGGCTGGCGGACGCCGCGCTCCGAGGTGCAGCCGGGGGCAACGAGCGTGCACAGGCGAAGGGACAGCCCGAGCGGCCACCCGAGGTGCCAAGAAAGACGGTGGCCCCCACCCGAGAGACAGGATCTCGAGCCCCGCAGGCACCAAATAAAAAGGACAGGGACAACAAGAGGGTGAAGGTCCGCGGGGAGCACTCCAGCAAGGGCACTCCACTCTCGCGACCCTAACCCCCGTCCTCGAGACGATATTGTGCAGATCGGCTCGCTAGGAGCCTGACCCAATATGTTTCTGGGTCGGCAACATGTAATGGACGAGGCGCAGGGATCCTGCGAGAATCGTGTCTGCTCTCGTCCGCAGGGTGATACCCTGCCAAAAACTGCTTTCGATTCCGAAGGGCCCGTTCCGAAAACCGATATGTAGGGTCGGTGGACGGACATCCTACCAACAAATGTCCAGCCGTGCCAGTGGTGCAACATCCACAGGAGACGAAAAGGCAAACGTGCCCCGAGGAAACCCAGAGACGATGCCCCCTGGCCGCGGACGCGGGAACGGGCCCCGTTTCTGGCATGGCACGGTAAGGCACAACTGTGGCGGCCATGGTAGGCCTGTCCCTGCGATGGCCGTCAGTCTTCCTACGCTTATCAGGGCGAAACGCGGGGCCCTCGCGACCTGGAATCCCGAGACCCCTGATCGCAAGGCCTCTGTCCCTGGAGGCGTCATCCCTGACCGAGACGATCGGTCCGAAGCTGACCCGAGGACGAACGTGGCGCTCGGGCCCGCTACTCGGGGAGAGGCTGCGCTGGCGTCGCATGCCAAGGGAAAACGGCGCCGCCCCCTCGGGTCTGAGAGCCCCTTCCCGAGATTCAAACGACCGAACGAAAGCAGAGGAGGAAGGGTGGTCACCGCGGACAGCAATGCCAGGACCACAGCCGTCATGACTCGTCTTGCGCCCACTGCCCCGGCCGCTCGCGGCGTCGCCAGGGACGCAGGGGGTGGAGGCAGACGCAGTCAAGGCCGCAGCTTTGGCAGCGCGAGCCCGAGCAGGGCAGGCACGACGAGAGAGACTACTGCGGGTACTCTCAAGCTCCGAACCTTTCTTACAAAACTGACATCGCCACAACTTGGCCCCAACGGGCCGAAGAACGCGTCGGAACTCCGAGGGAACATCGCGGAAAACGGCGGCAGGAGCCCTGCGGGGCCCGGGCGGCTTCCGACCCCGAGGTCGGGTGTCAAACCGCCCCCCCCCCCCCCCCAGAAAGGCGGCGACAGCCGGTGCATTCCAACGAAGAAGCGACTCATACTGCCGAAGGCCTAGGTGCATGGCCTTTCGCTGTATCGCAGGGGGCCGAGTGGGTGTTCCGCCCAAGACATGCAGCATGGTCGGCCCATCGGTTGCCAACATCCACGCTGATGGCCCCTGACGAGGACTACGCGGATGCCAACTTCTAACCCCCCGAGGTCATGAACTTTGCTCCAGATGGCCTCCCATAGATCAACATTCAAACGGCGAAGGGAGCAGCACAACTGAGGGCCGCTATTGGGACCGTCCAAGAGGCCTTTGAAGCCCGTATGGGCCACGACGGGGGGGGGCATACCTGGATGACCTGGAGGGGAGCGAAAAGCCCGAAGCCCCAGCCCGCTCGGACCGCCTCGGGCAAATACCACATACGTGAGCACGCGCCGTCGGTATACACGTGGCCCGAGATCCCCTGCGGGTTACCATGATGTACCGTGCAACGATCCTCATATATCCTCGGCGGTATCGCAGGGAAACTGCTGCGACTGACCAGCCCACGCGACCACAACAAGGAGTCTCGAGACATAGGGGGGAACCCTTTCTGATCGAAGGAGCGCAGGAATTCTGTTCGCCTCGTGTCCATGAAGGGGCATGGGCACTGCCATACGATGTGGCAGATGTCACATTGTTCCTGTCCGCAGTGCGGGCAACACGAGTCCGATCTGTACCCGCGACGGTGAAGCCTGTCTGGCGCCCATAGGCCTCCAGCCACGAACGCACGAATAGGACCGCCTGCTGTAAAAGTCTGGCTGCCACGCAAGCGGAGGCTCGCTGGACACACGTGCATCGTCGACGTCGTCTGGATTCACGCACTGGTCATATGTATCCTGATCGCTGCTAGAGTCTGGATCGGGGACGGGGATCGGATCTAGGATATTGATGATCGGTTCCACCCAATAACCGATTGGTTCCTTGGGACAGGCGGGTTCACCAGCCAGCTGCGGCCGTGATGCCCATCTCTCCCACATCCTCCGAACTGCGGCCTCGCGGGCCGAAGCCCGCATCGTGGATGGAGCCCCCCGCCGAATGTCCAAGACAGTGCCCAAGCCGGCGCGCCACGCGAACCCACTGGAGGCCGTCCATCGGAGGTCCCTGAGGGCAAGAGCCATAGCCCCAGCGGGGCCCGCCGCGTGCTTCCAGGGGGGCTTGGCTTCAGACAGCAGTTTGCGCGCCTGCGTGCACCACGCCGCCTGCAGCACGCGCGAGGGGATGGCGGCGGCTCGGCTCAAGAGGGCCCACTGAAATAGAGGCGCGGTCCACGCCTCGACCTGCGGGTCTGTGAACAACGACCCTTGTGAGCAAGATGTTACCCAACGAGAAGTACCTGCTCCTGGCGCAGACCACGCCGTTCTCTGACAAGCACGCATGTGGCCCACGAGCCTCGGAGGAGCGCCATGCACCCCCAGCCCGCAAGCAACCGCAGGCGGCACTGCCTGCTCAGTGAATTTCGTGAGCAGCGCTCCAGCCTTACGAAGAGTACGAAACTGATGTCGACGGCGAACGACCCCCTCCACCCTCTGTCTCAACTGGGAATGCCGAGTGGCCCGACCCAGCGCAACCTCCATGCCCAAGACCTCCAAGGATGTGGCGTATTGGTATCCTAGCGGGCCAGCTGCTTGCATACCCATGTCCGAGCTTAGGGATGCTGCTCGTGACCTTCATTTTGTGAGCAGCTGGCGGTAAGCCCAACATCTTAAGGACATTGATTAGCAACCGAAGGAGCGTTAGAGACCAGTCGCATATCTTAGAGAGGGCACCTCGGACACCGATCGTGATGTCGCCCGCGTAAAGATACAAAGAACGAGGGATAAACGATGCGTGTCTGTCAAGAGAGTCGAAGGCCGTCAGCATTACACACTGCAGTGCGAGAATGGCTAGCGGGCATCCTGGCAGCACGCCCTGACGGGCGTAAACCAGGTGTCGAACAGCAACTGTCCCATCCCAACCTCCTCTCCCCCATGTACATCCTGAATGCAAGCGACATGAGCTGGCCGCACGTAGCTACCATTTGTGGTTGCGCATGACCCAGTAAGGGTCCGCCCTCTTGGGGGTGCCAAGTCCGCCAGGAGCACCCGTCGGCGCACACCACAGACAAAAAATAGCGCAGTAGGGAGGGATGCGTGGGAGAGGGGGGGGGGGGGCGGCAGGATGTCAGACGCGGTGCGAGCGCTCCGCGGCGCTCGCGGCCCGCGGGGAGCCTCGGGGAGGGGCGCGGGGGCGCCAGGGCGGCAAGGGGGGGGGCGCGGCGCGCCGCGCTGTGCGTCTGCAGCGCCCTCAGCCAGCGCAGCGCCGTGCCGAAGTCGCTGCCCCAGGCCCCCTCGTGGCCTCGGGCCAGGGCGAGGGGGCGCGGGCGGCGCCGACCCAAAGAGGCGGCCGCGGGCCGCGGCCCGGGAGCCCGCCCGGAGCCCCCTCCGCGCCCTGGGAGTGCTCGTGCTGCAGTGGCCGCGGTCGCCTGCTGGGCGCCTGCTGTCGGCGGCGTGCGGCCAGGGGCAGTGCTGGCGTGGCCCCCCCCCCCAACCCTGGGAGGACGCCAGCGGAGCGACGAAGCAGGTGGGTCTGACGCGAGACATGGCCTAGGGACCTGACGCGGTGGCCTGCGCGGGCTGCCAGCGCGGCGCGCTACACTGGAAGCGAGGGCGAGCACGCGCGACCTTGCGCGGGCAGCTTGCGCGCGAATGTCGGCCTGGCCGACCCCGCTGTCTTCCGCCGCTCAACTTCTCACCTGCGCCGATCCTGGCCAGGCTCATCCTGGACCCTCGATCGGTGCGTACACCATCCCTGCCTGAGCAGGAGGGCCTTTGCCCCGGTGTGAGGCCAGGACCAGCCTGGCCAGGATCGGCATACGCAGGTGTAGAGTTGGTGCCTCCAGCCCGCCCCCGTTCCCAGGGGTAGAGGGGCCAACGCGGAGCGCCAAGATGCGCGGCCAGCTTCGCTCCATCGCGCCGGTCGAGAATTGACAGATCACCCTTCAAACCAAACGCCTTGAGGTGAACGCTTCCAGCGGCACCCCACTTGCGCACAGCACTGAATTCCCAGTGGACCTGGGCGGGACAGCCAATCGACGTCCAACATCAAGCGGATGCACCTGGCAAAAGAAGGTCGATTAGCCAACGGCACGCATGAATGCCAACGCCAAGCGAACGGTGCAGATTTCCTCAGTCGACTCGGCTGGGTGAGATTTGTCTCAACGCCCAAGCCGCCCCAGGGAGAAGGGCAGCCACCTGGCTGAGACTCGGGGCATGGGCGCCTCGGCGCCCCCGCGCAAGACCAAGCCTTAGGTCGGGCGTGTCCCCCTACAGGCGGATGTTGGACGAAACCATGGCACATACTCAACATGTTAAAAACGAAAAACTAGTCTTGATTATCCATCCTCTATGAGGACACTGCCGACTGAAACCCAGCCTCTCGCACACCCCGTGCAGAGAGAGGTTCCAGTGAGGGAAAGATGGGGGAACGAACAATGACATGAACATCAAAACTCGGAAGTCCGCGCGGATTTTTCGGATTGGCGCTCGACCCCCCTCCCTGGCGCGCGCAGCGGCGCCAGGGGCCGCGTCGGAGGCGCCGCCAGGAGGCCCCAGCGCCGATCCGAGAAATCCGCGCGGATCTCCGAGTTTCGAGGTTCATGTCATTGCTCGCTCCCCTAAATAGAGGGATGAAAAAAAACGACCCTGCCCTGGGTTACAAGTGCGTGGTTTGTGAACCTCCTGGGAACCCCCAAAGCCTAGAGCCGCCAGGACGCGGCACATCACGCAGGGTTTACCCTGTCAGCCCACAGGAGTTTCAGCGCACAGCGCCTCGTAAACCAGGGTAGGGGCGTTTTTTATGCCCTTGACTGAAACAGGTCCTCCAGCAGAAGCGGCTCCCGGGCCCCATGGCTTCTCCGCGGGGCCGGCTCTCCCATCCCGAGCCATTCCCTGAAGGGCCCTTGGCGCCGTGAGGGCCCGCTGGCGGCGAGGCACCTGCCCAGGACCCCGCTCCTCCAGGACTCCTGCGCCGCCTCCTCCTCCTCCTCCTCCTCCTCCTCCTCCTCCTCCCCTCCTCCTCCTCCTCCTCCTCCTCCTCCTCCTCCTCCTCCTATTCATCCTCCTCCTCCCCCTCCTCCTCCCCTCCACCTCTCCCCTCCTCCTCCTCTTCCTCCTCCTCCTCCTCCTCCTCCCTCCTCCTCCTCCTCTTCCTCCATACCATCTCCTCCTCCTCATCATCATCCTCCTCCTCCATATCATCTCCTTCCCCTCCTCCTCCTCCTCCCTCCTCCTCCTCCTCCTCCTCCTCCTCCTCCTCCTCCTCCTATTCCTCCTCCTCCTCCTCCTCCTCCTCCACCTCCTCCTCCTCCTCCATATCCATTTTCCTTCCTCCTCCTCCCTCCTCCTCCTCCTCCCTCCTCCTCCTCCTCCGCCTCCTCCTTCCTCCTCCTCCATATACATATCCTTCCTCCTCCTCCTCCTCCTCCTCCCCTCCTCCTGCTCATCCTTGGCGCTGGGGACTTTGGCCTCCCGCCCGCCGGACGGCTGGGGCGGGCGAAGGGAGGGCAGCAGAGGGACGGCTCGCGAATCGGCCGCCTTCGGCTGGTTTTCTGCCGGCGGGTAACCGAGGCGACCACTCTGTCGAGGAAGGCGTCAGGCAGCGGGCCGAATCCAGCTGCACGCAGCAAAAACGACATCTTCCGTCCCCCCTCCCCCTCCGCCCCTCCCCCCTCCCCCCCCCCCCCCCCGGTCCCACTTGTCCCAATCCACACACCCACCCTTACCATTGCTCGGACGCTCGTTCTCGGTGCATGTTCGGCTTCGTGCGGGCATCTTTCCTTGCAAGATGGCCCAGTATTCAAGTCGGGCATGTCCCTCTACAGGAAGAGCAGTCCATAAGAATTCAAAAAAGGGGACGATCGTTCGTGTTCCTTCGACTATGTTTGATTATCGTCTGACATGTTTTCGATTCTTCTAGGATCCGCCTGTAGGAAGACATGCCCGACCTAACCCAACATGCTCCTCGAGGGTCCCCGTCGAGGAAAAGATGCACACGTTCGAGCGGTGTCAAGCACCCCAAACGTCCGACGTCGTGGTGTTTCTCACGGCGTGGCTCCCCGAAAGCCCCTGGAAACCTCTTCCCGAAAACCGTCCGTTTCCTCCCGCGTACAGTCAAATTGTATCATACGGATGCGCGGTAAGGATGCAAGGACCTTGGAGGCCCATGCGAACGTTTTCGAATGAGGTTGGCCAGCGAAAGTGGACACGGATGGGACGAAGGGGCTCGGATGCAAGGGTACCCTTTGGAAGGTTCTCCGTCCTTATTCTGCTGACTGATTGTGGTGTTTTGACGGCCCCAGGACCCAGCGAAGGGTCCTCGAGAGCCGAATCTGAATCAGTCAATCAGAAACCTTGCGCCAGACGGCGCGCGAGCAGGGTGAGAGCCGAAACTGCCAAAAGCCCCCCGTGGCTATTTTTCAACGACGCGGGAACGTCAAGGCTTCTCTGATGCTGCATCGTCGGGAGACCTTGTCTGTCCCGTCGCCCCTTTATCCGCGCCGAATCCGTGTCGAATCCATGTCGGACTTGCCGAACCCGCGTCGAATCCACGTCGAATCCATTCCGGATGCGCGTCGACTCCGCGTCGGGCACATGAGACAACATCTGTTGAAACTGACGAAAGATGCCGCGTAACACCTCTGGGCGCCGGGCAGAGCTTCCACAGCACCGCCTCCAACGCAGGGCCGTCCTGCTCGAGCAGCGAGGGATTCGGCGGCGTGAGGAGCTCCACTGCCATCCAGGCCGGCGCCTCCTGCAGACAAACGGTACGCACGGTATGAGTTTTGTGCTCAACGTGTCGCGGCGGCCCCGGCTACACGGTGTGCCCTGCAAGAAGATGACGTGTCGCTGCACTCCGCGGGGCGGGATGCTGGGAAAGGATCGGGGCGCTGACGTTCGGGGGCCGGGCTATTATGGTCAGCGTGTGGCGCCGAAGCGGGGCGGGCCAGAACCCACGGCGCGACACGCTGAGCCAAAGTTTCTGGCCGCACACTTTCCTCGTCGGCGGCGAGGCACAAGCAGTCCGCACCAGCGCGGGGCGAATCGGGGCAGGCGGAAGGCGGATTGTCCAGCGTGCACGAGGAAGAGGCGAAGACGAGGGCGGCCGCGCGAGGGGAGGAGGGGCGAATCGCGCAGACGTGGAAGAGTTCCTGCACGCACACGCATACCCATCGGTCAAAAGAAGTAGGTAGAAGCATGAAGTAGGAAGGCGTTGGAAATACATTCGGTTTCCGCCCGCTTCCTGAAGAGGAAGAAGGAAAACCACTCGACTCTTGAAGTAGGAAGGCGCTGAAAGTAGATTGGAATCTGGGAATCCAAAAACACCTACTTTCAACGACCGATGGGTACGGTAATAAGCCTCGCTGCAAGGACATCTGCGCACCTCCTTCGTCGATCTCTTGTAGGGTCCGAGAGGGTGCCCCAGGGCTTCTGCGGGGCACCTGCTGGCACGCCCCGTTTTGGGGAAGTTTGAGTTGCGGACAGAGAGGGGCGGGGGCTACGCCGCGAAAGTACAAACCCAGACACCCCTCCGACCAACCTTGCGCGTATTTTCAAGGAAGGCGTGGGTGTAGAAAGTCGCCATCTCCCAGCGGTTATTTATACACCGCCGCCCTCCCCTGAGGCCCAGGAAAAATATTTTGCGGCGGAGGGGCGACGGGGTCGTAGGCAGCCTGCGAGGCTCGACGGCAGGCTCGAAGAAGCCCACCTTCGGGCGCCAACTTGGTCAGACGGTGCCGACTATCGCGGCTGCAACTGGCACGATGGCGAAAC